ATATATATGAGCCTCCAATAACTAAATGAATTGCATTCTGTTTAAATTAATTGGAATTAATATTATTATTATTTAGGAACAAATCATTTTAGATTTCTTGCATTCTTGCTAAGAAATGAAGATAAAAGAAACTCTTTACGCACTTGTCTGAACATTTGTTTTTATCATACCTGTAATTGTAACTTGTTGGTGAAGAACATTTTCTTCCATCCAATCTGTTCAGCCAGGGATTTCATCTCATCTGTCATAGTGTCACAATGGATTTCGTAAATCCTCTCCCACAACGAATCATTGTTGCAAACCTGTGCAAAAATTGAGGTCAGCATACATTATCAATGAATACAAATACTTAAAACTATAATTTGGCAAAATCCACTGTGAGAAATTGTTTATGCTATTTTTTATATTATACACTGTAAAAATGTGAATTATTATTAATGTTGTTTGCTAATAAAAATCATCATTTTGCTATATCATGGATAAACCAGGGTTTCAATTTCCCATGACAGCACCGACAAAAATTGCTGTACAAAGGGCCTTCCACTGCTGTGGTAAATCCTAGGCTTTTAGCTGTCGAGTTGCTTAACGCAGGCTAGGCCTACCAACGGATTTTACCCTTAAAAACAATAAAAACTGTTGATCGTTACTGTAGAAGAATAAATTGTTGTAAAGCCAGAGCCCACAGCAACTGCTTGCTAATGGAGCCTTTTGAGGAAATTCGAACCCTGTAAACATTCTTTTCTCTTTTAGTATCGCACAGTGGTGATAGATTCATGTGCTTGTGACAACCTCGGGGGTCACAAGTCTACCGCAGGTCATGGTGTCTCCTAGAAATCAGGAGGGCCTCCCACACTCCAGCAACCAGAAAAGATTCTCCCTGAAAATAATCCATCACTTGAAAATTCTGTAAAATCCACGTGTTTACAACTATATGACGCCATTACCATTTGTCTCACAGAAGTATGGGTCAATTGGTATCAGCATTTGCAGCAAAAGAAAATTAGATGTGCTAAGGAAGTTTGTTTAACCAGATCTCCTGGAAATGACATCTTCCAACTTGGGACCCCTGCAATCATCTACCGTACATATTTTTTTAGCTAAAAATTTGTAAAGTTCTGAAAAACCTGGTTACGTCATACACAAAAAATTGCATTTTTCTCAGTGGCTTGTTAAACATTTTATTCCAAAATTGTGGGGTTTTTTTCTCTTTTTTATATGCCTATTTTGAAGTTCTACTTTATTGTTTGGAAAAACTGTTAATTTGGATGCACCACTATTGAGTGTGCCACCAGTCTTAAGGTGTTACTCCTAATAAATTGATTGATTAATTGTTTTCAAACGAGATAGCAAAAAGCTTTCTATTCACATAAAATGGTTATTATTAATTAGTTGTTTTAATTTTTCAAACTTACTTCATAAAATTGTTTGCTTGTTTGCGCCAATGCTGCCACATCCTCCAGTTCGAGGAACGAGACAAGATAGATAAGAAGAGGCATTGGCAGTCTAGCAAAGTAGTCTATCTTCCCCATGCAGAGGTTTTTGGCGTATTCCAAAGTATTCAGTCCAAAAACACGGCGAACATCAACTGCATATAAATCATTTTTTAAATGTTGGTTATATATACATGATTTTTATATTTAAAAAAAAAAATGTTGGAAAAGATTGAAGAAACTTATAATGTAGTTTGGTAGCTGGATATTCTTTTTTTTGTGGTGGTGGTGGTGGTGGTGGTGATGATGATGATGATGATAATAATAACAACAACATACAATCCTCATTTCCTAGTTAGTAATTTACCATACCCACACCACCCCACTCCCCATATAGAAAACAATACGACATAGGGCTTATCTTATTTATAATATAGGCCACACACGTGTGTTTGAAACTAAATACAAGCATTTTCATCATGGTTTTATTTATTACAAACATATTCTTTCACCCTCAATACACATTGAGGCCCTTCTTTTAGGTTAAAATGATCTATCTTAAATTTGTCTTTCTTGAGTTTGGGACTATTATGTGTTTAAATAAATTATAAGGATAAAACTAAAAAAGCCCTAAAAAATGCGCGCCAAGCGTGCAAAATATTTTTGTGTTTTTAATTCTAATTTCGTCGGAATTAATGAAACTCCCTAAAATGTGGAATTTATAGAGGAAATTGGCCTACCGTAACAACAAATGCACGCAAAGAATTTGAGAATTTTAGGCACTTTCAGAGGATGCATTTGTCAAGGGGTGGGGAAAGATTTTCCAAAGATGGATATTTTCCCCTTGTCCCCCGGTGTTTTTAATTTTAATTTCATTGAAATTGATCAAAACTCCCTAAAATGTGCAATTTTTAGAGGAAATTGGGCCATGTTAACAAGAAATGCGCGCAAAATTTGAGGTTTTTAGGCACTTTCAGGGGATGAAAGGGCATTTGTAAAGGGGTGGGGAAGATTTTTCAAAGATAGATATTTCCCCTTGTCCCCCAGTGGTTACGCCATCGGGCAGCATAGATCAAAGGAGTTATGACAGTTTTTGAAGTGGAGAATGGGTTGCAGGGTGTTGTGAGTCTGGTCATTATGATATCTTCCTTTTTATTCTTGTCTTTATTTTTCTCTTCTCTTTTTCTTTCTTTTTCTTTCCCTCTTCTTTCTCTTTCCCTCCCTCTCCCGTCTTTCTTTTCTCTTATTACCCAGCCCGGTACGACGGCTTAGTCAGCCAAGTACAAACCGTCCGGGAAGGGGCAGGTTGCCCCCCCCACGCCTGTTACGACACTGGCTAACACGCCAATCATCCCCCCCAATGAAAAATATTTTTCTACGCCACTGTTGCTTTGGCAGCATTGGTATGCATTTAAAAGACAGCTTCAGGTATTTGCACCAAAAGTCACTCCAAACAGACACATATTCACTAATTTGTAGGCCCCTGGATATCAACTGATCATTCTGGCTTACCTGGAAAAGTCACCCTCTATTGTGATTAAAATGTTAATTGTCCCATGCATTTTAATGTGTAACCTTTTGTTTTGTAATAAGTGATTTTAAATATAAAAGGTCATAAGGAGCTATAAGTTTTCAATTAAATTTGTTTAAACATACACTGCAGCCGTTCATCGTATGCAAAATCCTCAATAGGTTGCTTTGATTCAGTTGGATTTAATCGTCTGTAGTCATTTCGTAAAGTGATATTCCAAGTTCTCCAGATGGTCTAAAATTTAAAATAAGAATTATTTTTATTTTTTTTACAATAACAATAACATTAACGGCACATAGAAAAAAATATTAGATTATCACTCTCTTTTTAAAAAAAAAATTGATGAGGACGGGAGGTTTTTTTTTTTTGTTTTTTTTTTTTTTGGGGGGGGGTTGGGGGGAAATAAACAATTTGTTACAAAAGGGACAGAACGAACATAAACGTCTGCCCTGTGATTCAATGGCCTATCCAAAAATAGGCCTAGGCCTATATTCCGGTGAAAAAATCAGACATTACTCAAGCGTTAGCGGGAAGGGAACAAATTACAGTTAGTATGCATAGGCGCTTAGGCTTTGGTCTTTACCTCGGGCTGAGCCAGCATTTGCCTAAACTTTCTTTCTTGATGTCGTAGGTTAGTTAGAAACCAATCCAACCAAACACACTCATCACAAGGAAGACTGCCCACTTGTAATGCATGATGTAACGAGTTATTTTTAGCAACGAGAGTCTCTCTGGAACATGTGAATCTTCAAGCTGTCAATCGACAATCCGATCAGCCCTCTGGGCAGGTCTCCTTAGGCCTGCCCAGTTTCTTTAGGTGTTGTCTATTTTTAGCCACAGTTAGCAAACTGTTTATTTTTAGTGACAGTAAACAAAAAGTTTAAAGAATGTGCTTTTGCATTTTCAACTTTACGGCGATCCCAATGCCTCATCTAATCAATTGGAAGAGTTTGAAGTCTACCGAATTCGGAGCCAATTCCTTTATAGGCCCTAGGCTATTTTGTTAGCATGTTTTTTGCAAAGTTGTTTTTTATGCAGTTAAAATATATGATGCCACCAAAAAAAAAATAATAAATAAATTTTTTTTTAATAAAAATTTTTTTAAATCAATATTTCCAAAAATCTTTGACGCGGACAGGAGTCATATTCTAATATTGTAATAAATTTTTCTATTTGCCCTAATAATGTTGCATATTTCACTTATAATAAGCCATTGCCTAATCATTTTCCATTATAATATTTAATTATAGGACTACATATTTAGGCAAACCATCATCAATTTAAAATGAAGGTCTTTTAGTTTTGACTGAGAGAACTTCAAATTCAATCCGAGTCCTGACAAATCAATCAAGAAAGAATTTAACTGGGCCCTGGGGATGCACCAGCTCAGCCACGGCACTGGGCTCTAGCTAGCCTAGACTCTAGTCTAGGATTGTTGTGTAGGCCTAGCAGTACTTACTATAGGCTTCAAATTGAAGAAAAATCAAGAATTACAATCCTATAACTTCCACTTACATTTCTAGATGAGATTATGAACTGGTGGAAATCCTTTGATGGTGCTGGAGCCTGAGCGCTAACCTCAAGCAGAACTCCGCTACTCGGTAACAAGGACGCTTCCGACATTTTTCTTCTTGGTTACCATTAAATTGCGTTTCTGGTAATATTGATCGGGAAGCTGCAACGTTGCGCCCTCTAAAACCAAAAACTTCATGAAAAGCTATGTTTATAAGGTGGAGAGTTTTTTAGCCAACAAACAAACTTTCAAAATGTCGGAAAAGGGTAGTTCTGAAGTCGACACGTCACATTCAAATAACCCTCTTTCTCGGAAGCTAAATAAAATTTTAGAGACAAGATTAGACAATGATAAGGTTATTTTTAACATAGAAAATTGAGAATGCCAAAAATTGCTTTTTAAACTAGGCTAGCCCACAATGTCGTTAAGTTAGGCCCTAGGACTAGGCCGAGGCGATGAAGCTCAGCTATGGCAGTGACTGTTGACCAGACCAGGACGGGAGCTCCTGCACTCGCACTCCTCCGGCACTGGACCATGTTGATCCTGTGCCCAACGTGAATTTAATCGGGCCTTGGCCTACTACTGTACCCTGGTGTAGGCATACATTTTTAGTGATAAAGTTATCAGTATTTTAATTTTAGGATGCCAGTCAATTCGAGCGGATGTCAGTTTGAGCGGATGCCAGTTCGAGCGGATGCATTTAGTGCGAACTATAACAAGGGCGAATTTATCGTCGCCGTATTCTTGTATTTGTTTGTTTTAAATGCAAAAAATGCTCTGATTACTAAGCTAAGGTCCTGAAAGGTTTTTAGTACTTTTTGATAATTACTCCATATTTGAATTACGGTCTTGGCAACTCCGACTACCAAGATGGCCACTAACAAGTTAAAACTATAATAGAATTGCGCACTTTTCAGCTTAAAAAAGAAGAAAGTGTATGTTTTACTAGAGTTCACGAGAAGCACACACACAAGACGAGTGACCATTATTTTTTTCACGGTAAACAAAGTGGGGTGGCTAGCCACCCTATTTACCACCCTTCCTCAGATCCGCCACTGGTTGGGGTTCTCTATTTAAAAAAGCAAATTATATTTGTAATTGAGTTATGCTACTCGCTTATCTATTCTGGAACTGTTGTGTGCCCCCTTCCCCTTTGAAAATGTCAAATTTTTAGCTCAAATTATATTTGTAATTGAGTTAATGCTACTCACTTGTCTATTTTGGAACTGTTGTGTGCCCCCTTCCCCTTTTAAAATGTCAAATTTTTAGCTCAAAAATAGGAAATTTTGAAGTAATTCGTATATAACTCGCACAGGTTGTTGTTCGCACAAGTGGATCTTCTTCCGCTCAAACTAGCATCCGCTTGAAAAAAATTCCGCTCGAATTGGCCTTCGCTCGAAGTGGCATCCGCTCAAATTGACTGGTTCCCTAATTTTATATGGCCAAGCCTAGGCCTTAGATTAATATTTTTGCCTTGAATGATATCAAACAAATAACCGTTTCAAAAATGTTTTGTTATATAATGATGACAATTAATTCCTTTATCTGTTTTCCTTTTTATTGCTAGCTGCAGTGGTTTTCATTACATTTTGAATTTATGGTTTAAAAAATGATATGATTTGTAAATTCAATTCTTTTGATGTTACCGAGTCTCTTTTATGTAGCAGTAATTGAAATTACAACACCAATTTCAGCAACTGCCACAGGATTCAGGCTTTTACTTAGACCTTCATGCCCCCATTGGGCCTGGGCCCCAGAGCTAGCTGAGTCACTGTTTTATTGGCTTGCAATTAAAATTATGTAGTAGTATAATTTCCAACTATTTTGCCCTCATTGAATAGTGTCTTTAGTGTCTAAAACTTTGTAATTGTATTCCTAAACTTCCATTAATTTTGAATATTTTTTTTAATGATTTTCAAATTTATTGTTAAGGATGTACTGGAAGCACTCAAGGCTATGTCAAGTTTCTTCAGTGAAAATAACCTGCGAACTCGACGCAACCTGAGAGGAGACATTGAGCGCAGAAGTCTGACAATCAATGAAGAATTTTCTGAAGCATTTAGAGCTGTGAAAGTGGTAATTCTTAACTATTATTATTACTAGAAATTGCAAATTGCAAGTGAAGTGCTGCGAAGTACAACTGCATAAAATGTTCTTGGAACAAAATTATTTATGCGAATCAAGTGAAAATAATGAATAATAAAAGTAATATGAGACACGACCCATCGTCTATATTAGAACACTTCTCATTGGGTAATATAGTCGTAATTTTTCATTTTTTTCAAAAGTGTATAGTGGTGAATTATGGTTTAGGTTTTTTTTGAATGAAGTTTCCAAAATTTCTATATATGTGGAAAATTTATAGTTGATTAGGCTACCAAAGGTTACAATTTTTATTTTGAAGACTGCATGGTCTAGGAAGTGTA